CACTGTATAGGTCGTCATCGTTGGATGGTGTGAAGAAGGCCTGTTTCATGACCGCCTCAGATAGTCGCAACTCCGAAAACACCGGCACAGGACCGTCCAGAGCGGCAGTACCAACGATGAGCAACATCGAGAGGAGCACGGTTAGCATAGTTACTATTATGAGTAATTATAATTGTTAGTAAGGTTTTGCGATCAAGGATAATTCAGTTGCGCTATTTCGCTACTTTGGAGCTAACGAGGGGGCATTGTGTTGACTCCTGTCAACATTCCGGTCCGAGCATTTGTAGAGTCCTGCAAACTCCTGTAAAACTCATGCAAGTGGTGCGACATGAATTTTCGTTCCTTCGGACTCTTGCCACCTCTCCTAGTGCACTTAGCTCATTTTCAGATACTACGGCCGCAAACGAGACAAATCACACCATGTTGTAGCTCGACAGGAGTTTATAGGAGTTTGCGTAGTTGCTCACAAGAATTGACAAAAGTTTGACAAAATGCCCCCTCCCCCATAACTGGCTAGCGCACAGTTCGTATTCTCCACCGTTATGCCGATATCAAATCCTTGTAATGCATTTATAATATGACCGATCGATACGATCGATAAGCCCACAAGAAGAAAATCATTAATTGGAAATAGCCGAAAACTGAGTAGTAAACTATCAGTGCGGTTAAAAGCAGTGAAACTATAGGAAAACAAATCAATCAAATGGCATGTGTCACGCTAAGAAGGCTGAAACTGATAAAATTTACAACCGTCAGTGGGCAACTCCTTTTTCAACTGATTGCCCCACCAATAGTACATAGAAAATATGTTTATTGATTGGCAATAAGTATCTTGAAGTGATATGATCAACAGGCAAGGCCCGGGCAGTCGTAGGCGAATCCGATACGTTCCTTTTCGCATTGTACCCAACCGGTCTGAAATTTCGTTTGGTAGGGTCAAAAAGTATTTGGTAGAGCTTAAAAGTAATTGGCGAATTCAGTACTAGTTGACTGAATTTGGAAATAGAACTCGGCGCTGTTCGGCTTGGAAGGGGCATTTTGCACTTTTGCCGGTTCCTTTTGCTAGCTTATATATGTGAGCTATCGGCTTTCATAAAAAAAATGAGACTTGTAAGCTCTTGTGGAGCTCGAGATGTGAAGTTCCACTCTACTACGAGTGTTTACAGGTATTCAACAAA